TACAACTTCTGATGAGGCCAATTTACAAACCCTTTCCGGTCGCTTCTGCGGAAGAAATAGAAGGTATAGGACGACCTCACTCTTCAAAAGCCAGCTTTTCTCCGTATTTCCATCGTGTCATCCATGGCTTGCGTGGAGCGAGACTTTAGTAGAATCTCCGCGAGCGGAACGATTGCCGGCGGAACTGGCGAGTGCTGTTCCGATGTGGCAATCGATTCGACCCGAGGGACACGAGACTACATGAGAGCAAGGCCCTGCCTGTCATGCCACCAAGCCTGCTCTGCCCGTGAAACAGTCACAAGGTCAGCGGTTGGCGGCTCTGACTCAATGGCAGGGCTGCGATAGTGACGGGCTGAGTGGGCGCTGCGGCCGGCGGATCGACCGATCATAAGTGCCTGTGCGGCCACCTTGAATGGAGGGCAGCCGCCTCAGGACGGCATCATCCGGAAATTCGGCAACAAAATGCATAATTTAGCCGATTCAAAGGAGGCTAGCCACCTCATCAGGACTCACATTAGAAGTTGTCTTCGCGGTCGGCATTGGTAGTAGCTCGTCCGAGTAGCCGTGGTTTGCAAGCGCCCAGAGGCGATGAGGAGCCGGAGGCGGGATGGGCAAAATCCAACGAAAACGACGAAGAAGTGGAGGATCGAAAGCGCGACACCGACCAATACAGCTACAGAATGTATGCGCCGGAGAAATGACAAAGACAAACAGCAGAGAACGCGTCAACGCGGCACGGACACAAGGAAGGTGAAACACAGCACCTGTTTGGCCGATAATCTGCAAGAAGATTGGATGCCGCCCGGCAGACCAGACATATGGGCGGGATAGCAGGAGTGGATCGATAGTCTCCGCGCCTAAGAGATGCCAACGCCAAGAGTCGCCAGATTTAATCAATACGTCTTCCCTGTTCTAGCACTTACGCCGCCCAGCATGACGAAAAGGGGAGAGGGGAGCGGAGAGAGAGAGAACATACGGCGGGGTAGTTACAGCATCGAGCCTCAGCAACTGCTGCTGTTGGATGAAACCACACGTTTGTGGCATATCGAGTTGCACAAGGGATCAATGGGATGGTGCCAAGTCGCCGATGTGGATCTAACCTGGTCGATAGATGGTTGCTGCAGCTGTTGGCAGTTGGAAGGGTCGGAGGGCGAAGCTGATTGGTCCAGTTTGAGCCAATGGCAGGTGGGTCAGAGCGTATTCTCGCTGGTGCCTGCCCTAATGCAACATTGACACCGCATTATTAGCCAATAGGCGCGGCGCTGCCCAGACATTTTTCTGTGCTATTTGAGATGTAGTAGTCTCGAGACTACTTATATATATTTTGTGATGATGGTAAGCCTATACATTTACTGGTATTTCATCCGTTAATCTGGACAGTCTTTCCTTCCGTGCTCTGCCCCTGCCTCCTTCTTCCATCCTTGTCTGCATTGCGCAAATTTGCCGTCTCCTCTCAGAGCGCCTGTGACCACACTCACTGGTAGCCGGACGCGTCATGACGAGAGCGTGGATTCCCAATAGTAGATGCGGGCTGGAAACTAAAGCCCAGGGTGAAGGAATCAGAGCACCAGTAACAATAACTCGGTATAGGTGAGATGTATTCACCCCATTTGGTTGAAGGTGTGTTAGTTGAATACAATTTTTGAAGCAAGACTGTGTGAAATGCAATAGAAACAAGGTCTACGCATAGCCTTTTGGGAAAATATAACTGCCAGTCGCCACATCACCTTAAACTAAATAGGGTAAATAACTATCATATACATGACCTGGAAGTCTCGAAAACCTACTCATAAACGAAAAATAGCCCGATATGTTCTGTAGGCCAAATGGTGGGTGCGTGTTTGCGTGTTGCCCATTAAGGATTGAAAGTATCCGTGTCTAGCTACCCACTTATACCCCCTCCTTTTCGGCGACTAAGGGCATCAGACTCGCCATAAATATATTTTACTCATCTCCCCTTAGCCTGGGAACCACCAATATTGCAAGAGCGAAGATGTAGTTTTCCCTCCTAGACCCTCGAGGTCTGTCCTTGAGCTTCAACGAAGGGAAACAAATTAATTTAAATGGTTTTACTTGTCTTGACACTTTTGTCTTATTGTCAGAGAGAACTTTGTGTTCGGAGCCTGTTGCCACAGTAGTCATGCTAGTTTCCAGGTTCGGACAATTGGCTTGATTAATTCCCAGACGTTTCGATGTCATCATCAGCGCGCCTTGGCAGTTTAATCACCAACTATTGCTTAGTGAAGTTTATCGCTTCACCAACTTTTTGCTGAACTATCCCGATATGAGCAGTTTTAGATCCTCTCAGTGATTCTTAACTAGGAACTTAGTCACTCTAGGTTGCTTAAGGTGGTCGAAGGACTGATCATTGAGTTCTTATCAAAGAATTAGTGATGCTACCGAAAAATACTAGCATTGCAACTAAGTAACGTAGTCAAATGCAAAGGCAAATACATGTTTGCTTAAACGAAGTTATGAAGACCAAGATGGTGTGGCCTTCTGTGTGGTCGCAGTCTCTTTTCGTTGTATATATGTTGTTTGACCTTGTTTTCGCAATTTGGTCATATTGGTAGTAAGACTTAGAGGAACGCACCTAGTCCGGATTCCATTGTATGCATGATCATTTCCAAAGTTGGATCGTGGACGTGGTACATTCCCATACGTTTCACAGGCATCGTAGTCGGCATCGACAGTGAGTATTGCCATTCTTAGCATCATATAACAACTCGTCAAAGAGTCAAGCAAGCCTATCTTTTGACCAAACGTGTGCTAAACAGTTGTGGTATCTTTCCTTCTGCACTGGGCTATTCACATTTCCAATATCCTCCTATCACACCGTCACTGATACAGTTTTTTCTCTTGAATAATTAAATCTAGTGTGATGTGACCTTCTGAGCGACTTCGAAGAGGACCCTCCGAACTTCACGTTAGCGTTCTAACTCTCCTTCATCCTTGTGCTGGGAATGTTTATCAGAGTCTGCCATATTGTTACGCAGTCCTTCTTCCCTGGTCTTATCACAGTCTCCCTCTTGCCCCGTAAGATCCGTCTGCCATTCTCTGCGTCTGGGTGACTAATTCGAGGCTAAAGTCTCTGATTAAGTCTCATGGTCAGGCCTTTGCCACATGGACCACATCTCTTCTAAAACCTACTGTCAGCCAACTAGCTCCAATCGTCGCCGCGTCTATCCTGTTCCTATCCCTAATACCAAGTCTATGACTTGCCATGCCCTAGTCTCTTGTGTGCCAACACACAAATGTTGTGGTAGTGCTTGCTTTGATTAGGTCCAATGATGAACCACGACGTTTGTGGGTTGGCACACAAGAGACTAGGGCATGGCAAGTCATAGACTTGGTATTAGATATAGAAACAGGATAGACGT